GTCGGCCTGTTGATTCTTTTTGGCCGACTGCTTTTTTGAGGAAGTGTTCCCCGTAGATTTCTTGACATAAGTGTCAAGATCACCTTGATCAGCCAAGCGGTCTAGGTACCGCATGAGACTGATGCAGTCATTGGTGTGATGACCAACGTCATCATGATAAGCACAGATTTTGTCTTGGTTCCGGTTGCTCGCAGAACCCTTCATGGGGAGCGGCTTCTCAATTGAGAGCCGTCCCTTTATTTCTTTTAGGATAAACTGGTTATCATTGTTAAACACATACTTTGGGGAGTATGGTTTGAATTCTTTTTTCTTTTTCTGGGCCGGCTGTTTAGAGGAATCAGCCGCCCAGACCTCTTTTCTTTTCTCATCTTTGTTGGACGACTGTTTCTGTCGTCCCTCTCTTTTGTCGAACCTCTTCCCGTCCGACTGTTTTATCGTACACAGATCAGTCGCCTGTATATAGGCTTCTGCTTCAATCAAGGCCTCTTGAAGAGTCGCCACCCTCTTTCGAACTAAATCAAATTTAAAGGTAGACCCGTCTTTGAGACCTCTAAAAAAGTCAGTATAAGCTACCTCATCCGGTAACCCTTGAATCTGTATCCTCATCAGGTTGAACCGCCTGATGTAAGAACGAAGCCCCTCCTTCTCGCCCTGCTGTATTGTTCCCAAATCAAGGGTCGTTTTCTTCGCAGGGGTGTTCATAGCAAAGTTGGAGGCAAATAAGTAAGCAAGCGTCCTGAAGTTGTTTACACAACCAGTCGGCAGGTTGCCGAACCATTGCTGTGCAATTCCCTTGAGAGTCGCTGGGAAACACTTGCACCAAGTGGGATCATCCAACCCTTGAAGGTACATCAGGTTGGTGAATGCCATCAGATGGTCTTCTGGGTTAGTAGTGCCGTCATAGGCGCCTACTAGAACATTTTTTACTTTGGCCGGCTGAGCGGCTTCAGTAATTTCCTTGGAGAAGGCCGACGGCTGTTCACCAAGTCTAAGCAGCCGTAGCTGCCAGTCCATAGGTTGGACGTTTTTTGCTGCAGGTCCACCGAATGGAGGTGGCTGCATAAAATACTGTTGTTGCGGCACAAATGGTAAGTTTGGTACCGCCTGGGCACTATGAAAGTCGGACTGACGGGAGGTGCCGCCTGACTGACTCTCATGGTACGACTGAGCATGCCTCATCGAGGCATTTCGCAAACTGTCCTGAAAATTTGAAGTAGAAGCCGACTCTGATAATCGATCACTCTTCTTCTGCTCTAGCAGGTGCCGAGCATCTGTGAACGTTTGCTTTGACCCATCCGCCTGAATATGACGAACCGGTTTCCTATTTCCCGTAGGATAACGGAGTTTTGTAAAATCAAGAGCAGTTGGCTCCCGCTTCTTGGATTTAGGATGGGGAGTCGCCTCTCGCCCTTGAACTGGCTTCCTCTTCAGTGAAGTGGAAGGTTTCTTGGCCGACTGCTCTTTGACTGAAGCAGGCGGTTTTTTTGTTGATCAACTCTTGAATCTCTCCCTTGAAGTCCCTCATGAAGGTCATGAGTTCGTTCCTTGTGATGGGAGCAGACCCATCAGTCGGCTGTTGCCGAGCAAGCGGTGCGCCTACTGGCTCGCTTCCTGTTTGAAGATGCTCCCGTTCCCTCCTTTCGGTATGACGGGTACGTCGGGCCCTTAGGGTCCCGTCTGGAGCTGTATGAGTTTCAACTTCAAATTCACTTTCGGTATCATGGTCCGACTGAACTTGAGGGTCGTCTAGGGGACGCCTCTCTTCTGGAGTCGGTACAGACTTGGATGCCATCTCTGAAGTACTCTCCCCACAGACGGCGCCAAATGTTTCGGGGTTTTCTGATGTCCTGCGGGAGAGTTACAATTCCGAGACTGGAACCGGACGCCTGTACCTGCAAAATAACGGAGACTCCTGAGAGCTCCGCCTCCAACGGTCAAGTTAGTACCTGATTAAGGAGTAATCAATACAGAAATTAAAGTAATGAGATCTCTCTAGGTGAGAGTGCTTAGTGTTGGTAATCTGCGTCGTTAGCGAGATTAGCCGGTTTAATAACTCTGTTCTTCTCTGCTTGATCTCTTGATTATTCCCTCCTTGATTAATGAGGATTAATTGAGTATTTATAGCCTTGAGAAGCGTGCCACTCTCTAGGTTTAAGGTAAACCTAGGGCTGATCGGGCCTCTAGACTGAATTGGGCCTTGATGGCCGGTTTTCCCATTTGGCATGGGTGGACACGTTGGCGTGTCTAAATTGGTCCGTAGAGGACGTATCTGTGATTGACACGTGGCAGGCTCCTGTTGTCCTTCGTGAAGGACACGTGGCGGAACCTGGTTGGTCCACTTGTCAGACGGTGATTGGTGGATAAAAACCCCCTAATCAACAATCATATTTAATATATTTGATATTACCCTAGACATGATATTAGGAATATCATAATAACAATATAAACATGATTTCTACATCATAACATCAATAAAAATCATTAAAGCACTTACTTTGATGCCTCGTACCTTTTTCTAATAACAAAATACACACGTTAGTAATTTCAAGGAAAATAATAATCAAACAATTAAATTAAATAATTGAAAGAGAGATTTGGGACCAAACCCTCAGAAATTAAACCTTTCACGTCAAGGGCGAAGGCAACTTCGAATATGGCTAGGTGTTTCTAAATCTTGTGAATGCGGTATTTTTTATGTAAAAGCAAAGTTTAGAGAAGAACGATGAATGAATGCTAATTAAAACTGATTGTAGATCATGAAAATTGGAGAATGATTAAGAGAGAATTAGAGAATTAACGATTGCGAATGAAAACTGATTGTAGGTGAATGTAGATTCTTGAAAACGGAGTTTTTAATACGATATTTATAAAGAAAATCAGCCAAAAAGATAAATTAAACAAAACAGAGTCTGACGCATAAAAAAAAGAGCTGGCGCCAAACCTGGCTAGCTAGCGCCATGCACCAACACTAGCGCCAGGCGCCAAGGCCTGGGGTTAGGCGCCAAGCTTATTTCTAACGCGTTTTTCGAAAATCAGATAAGTTTACCGTAATGGAGGATAAAATCGTATAATTTCCTCGAAAATGCTATTTGATTTTGATTAAAACTCTGAAAAGTCAACAAAAGTCAATTTATCAATGCTAATTGAATTCGGGATGAAAAGAACCTTCTAGAAGATTCTAGAAAACCAAAACCATTCCTACTTGCATTAGGAATGATAATTCATATTAGGCCCTCCCGTATATCATTAGGCTGTATATAAAGCTCAAACCGGTCCCAGTTTAGTAAATTGGCCATAACTTCCTCAATATTAATCGGAATTGGGCTTATAATATATCGTTGGTAATGTCTTTGCATGCCCCATCCAAATATACTACTTGGACCCATATCATGGACTAACCAAACTGGATTGGCTGTTTTCTTAAAAATAAGTTTTCAAAAACAGAGAGAAGAGAAAAGAAAATAAAACTTTCCGCAACACTAGACTTTCCACACTTTCGCTTCATTCGATTATGATTCGACGTGAAAGGTACTTATCACTGGGTTTGGTTTTGGGAAGACACAAATGGGTGTCTACATAACCAAAATGTGTTTATGTGATTACATATCTGAAAACTAAACTATGTTTTTATTACTGTGCTTTTTAGAAAGTGACAAATTAATATTTTAATGATAATCAATAATTCAATGAGAATGAGTATTATACTGTAGTTAAATTGTTATGTTTGTGAAATGACTTTGATGTTTACCAATGCGTGGTTTTAATTATAATTAATAAGCCAACATAAGTATGCTATACTACAGTATTGAAAGTAATGACCAAATAGCATGTGTATGATTACTTAATTATGGTATACTAATGTAATGTTAGAATCTAATATAGGTGTTAACCTATTAGCCTGTTTGTTATTACATAAATATTGGACAGGATAGTATAAAGTAGATTGTTTGTTGATACATATACAGGAAATATTCGGTGAGTATTCTCCTCGGGATGGACTGTACAGCATCTTGAAATATGACTTGCCTAGGATTAGAGACTGGACTGATGCAAATATGAAGAGTTTTCACGATTTTATTAGTGGGTTACAAGAAGGATACCAAACAAGTAAAGTAAGTGCAATCCTGTTTTTTTTTTTTCCCTGTTGTATGTACTAATTTTTAAGTAAAGTAAGTGCAATCTTGTTTTTTTTTTTCCCTGTTGTATGTACTAATTTTTTATATTGTAATTTCCTACAATAAAATGATAACATTTTGTGTTGTAGTTGATGGGGGTGATTGACAAGGAAAAGGCCCAAATAGTCGGAAAGACTCCACCAGAACATATTCAAGTTGTCGAGAAAGCATTTGACCTCATCCAAGATAAGATTGGTAGATGGGGTGTTGCCATGAACGAGATGTGGAGGTTGATGGGCAGCTTTTTGGCAGACGTCCATGAAGACATGGCTACTGAAGCGAGCCAAAAAAAGCAACGAAAGGGTAAAGGAAAAATTGAAGAGGAGGAGGATTACAGTGTTCATGAAGACGAAATAGATAGTGGAGCTGAGGATTTTGCCAGTGAATCTGATAGTGACAAATAAAGAAAAAAGAAAAAGAAGGTGAAGAAAGGGTTGATTAAGGTATTCACCATTATTATATTAATTATTATTTATTTAAATGTATATGATCACGAAAGTATGATATATAAATATAATGATGGTGTTTATATATGGTTTAATCTATTATCATTTCTGTCGTTACATACTCCTATTAATGGTTTGATATGCTTATTTATGTTATAAATGTATATTAATGAAAATATGGTTTAACCTATAATCCGGTTTGTCATTACATAAATATGTGTTTTCTTATTTTATAACTATGTTTATTCTACCCTCCCTTCTTAGAAAGCAGCCGAGGAGGCAGAGGAAAAGAAAGAGGAGGAAGAGATTGAGGAGGAAGAGATAGATGAGGAAAAGTTAGAGGAGGAAGTACCAAAGAAAAAAAAACAAGGGTAGAAAAATGGGGATGACAGCTTTGAAGAAGGTATTCACCCTTATCATATTGATTTTTACTTATTTGTATTTATATGATCACCAGAAAATGATACATAAAAATAAAGATGGTGTTTAATATATGGTTTATGTTCATGTTTGTCATTACATATTATTGTCGTTGATGTGATATGTAGTTATGTTATATATATTTATGGAAATGTGGTTTATCCTATATACATATTGGTCATTACATAGGTATGTAATATGTAATTTCTTAACTCTATGTATACTGCTCTCCTTTGTCAGAAAGCAGTCAAGGATGCTGAAGAAGATGTTGAGGAAACAGAAACAATGGAAGAGGAGGAGGAGCAAGTTCCAAAGCCAAAAACAAAGGGAGAACAAGGAGCTTCGAAAAGGAAGATTGATTCTGATGATGGGAAACAAAAGGGAGAGAAGGAGAAAGTTGTTAGGGCCCCAAAGGAAGTTAGCCAGAACAAAAAAAAGGGAAAGAAATCTGATCAATCTGAAGAATCTGAAGAGGCTGCTTCAAAGAAGAAAAAGACCACAAAAATTAAGGAGAAATCTGAAGCAGTGGTTGAAGAAAACAAAGATGCTGATTCGGATGAAGGTGAAGACGAGGAACAAAATCAAAGCACGAACTTAATCGTAAAACGTCTGACATCATCAATTGAAAATCCATACATGCACACTGTTCGTGAGCCACATGCTCAAGATGATAATGCTGAAAAAGACCTTCCGACAAGTGAAGTTGCTATCGAGGTCGATAAAAAAGCCGAAGAAGATGAAGTTTTAGTAGGTTTTGGCTTTGAATCAGCTAAGAATGCTTAGGCTATGGAAACAAAATCCACAAGTGTGAAAGAGGTTGTGGGTGAAGTCGATGCAACAATAAACCAAACCGAAGCTAATGAGGCGGCGGAGGATGAGCGCGGCAATGCAAAAGAAGGTGAGAAAGGTGGTGATCATGCTATCTCTGCTACCACCAGTCAACCTGCTGAAGATGTTGGTGACCATGGTGTATTTGATACCACCACGGGGCGTGGTGATCAAGGTGATGGATTTGTTGTCAGTGCAGCTAATCAAGGTGGTGATGGTCATGAGGTATCTGCTAAATGAAGATAACTATGAAGTTTTAGTTTGAACTGTCTTTAACATAACGTAGTATTGGATATTACATATTTTGAATAGCTGATGTTTTCTTATTGATTTCATGGACAAGTTTATGTTTTTATTTGCAGAAGTTAAGGGTTTATATGTACGTAGGACGGTAGGATTGCCTTAACCATTAAGTATTAGTACTATATTTTTAAAAACAGTATGTATTGTTATATGCAACAACTCATATGTTTGATGGTTTAGACTCATTGTTAATGTTTTTTGTTTATAGTCCCTTCCTCATGCCATTACTATAATTTTAATTAATTTGCACAATGAAGTTGGAGTAAAATAAATATTAATAAAAATTCAACAAAGAAAATATCTTTCCAAATGATTAGCATCTTTAATTTAATTAAAAGAAAAATTATCCACAAGGCATATAACTTACAAAAAAAATGGACCAAATGAAATATGAATAAACAAGAAAGCAGCTTCTTTGTTTGAAGTTTTATTTATGTAATGTCATGTTTAAACAAAGGACATTGCCCAGTCATATTTATAACCTTATAGTGAAAGTTTTTACATGTTCCAAAAAAAAATGACCAAAGAGAATATAAATAAACAAGAAAGCAGCTTCTTTGTTTGAAGTTTTATTTATGTAATGTCATGTTTAAACAAAGGACATTACCCGGTCATAATTATAACCTTATAGTGAAAGTTTTTACATGTTCCAAAAAAAAAATGACCAAAGAGAATATAAATAAACAAGAAAGCAGCTTCTTTGTTTGTAGTTTTATTTATGTAATGTCATGTTTAAAAATAGGACATTGTCCAGTCATATTTATAACCTTATAGTGCAAGTTTTTACATGTTACAAAAAAAATGACCAAAGAGAATATAAATAAACAAGAAAGCAGCTTCTTTATTTGAAGTTTTATTTATGTAATGTCATATTTAAAAATAGGAAATTGCCCAGTCATATTTATAACCTTATAGTGCAAGTTTTTACATGTTCCAAAAAAAAAATGACCAAAGAGAATATAAATAAATAAGAAAGCAGCTTCTTTGTTTGAAGTTTTATTAATGTAATGTCATGTTTAAACATGGGATATTGCCCAGTCTTATATATAACCATATACAACAAGTTTTTACATGTTCCAAAAAAATAAAATAAAAAAACTGATCAAAGGGAATATAAATAAACAAGAAAGCAGCTTCTTTGTTTGAAGTTTTATTAATGTAATGTCATGTTTAAACATGGAATATTGCCCAGTCTTATATATAACCATATAGAGCAAGTTTTTACATGTTCCAAAAAAAATGATCAAAGGGAATATAAATAAACAAGAAAGCAACACAACAACATCTTTGTTTGACGTTTTATTTATGTAATGTCATGTGTAAACATAGGACATTGCTCAAGCATGTATATAACTATATAGAGCAAGTTTTTACATGTTCCAAAAAAAAAAAATTGATTAAAGGGAATATAAATAAATAAGAAAGCAGCACAACAACTTCTTTGTTTGAAGTTTTATTTATGTAATGTCATGTGTAAACATAGGACATTGCCCAGTCATGTATATGACAACATAGTGCAAGTTTTTACATGTTCCAAAAAAAAAAAGGATCGGGGTTATTAGTTTCCTGTTTGATTATTTTTAATCTTTTTTTTTTGGTAACTATATGTGTTGTCTTTAATTACAGTAAGATACACCTATTTGTTATCATACAAACATGACAATTAAAATATATTACTATATGGGTAAAGATAGACAACAATATAAAGGGAGAAGTGGTATAAAAACAAGAGGGAATCATTAAAAGTGTGTCATATTTTTAGGTATTGTCCGTATAATAAATAAATCATTGCATATATATATATATATACATATATGTATATATGTATATATATATATGTATGTATATTAAAAAAAAGAAATTCAAAGTCACTAATCATTGAAAAATAATCTTGTTACAACACAAATTTCACTTGTGTACTGCACAAAATGTAAACATGTTCGTAGACTAAACAATGTAATTATCGCCGTTCAAACGGAAAAATCACTGCACAACCTCTTGATGTTTTCATCGATATTATGCTCGCTGGTAAGAAGCTTTGCCAAGTACTTTAATCGTTCGACACGCATTTCACTTGTCTGTTGAATGAAACAATAAAAAAGAGAGTTAAATTTATTGCAATTGTACAATAGTGTAAATTTCACAATTAATAAAGTTTCAAGACATACTGTATAAGTAATGTCCTTCATGGCCCTGATATCACCACACTCGATGTACTTCAAGACATACATTCCACAATCACGGCTGAAAATAAATTTATCTTAGCAATATAAATTAAACAGATGAATATTTAGCATAATGGTATGATGTTAGATGGATATACCCGTGTGGTTGCGTATGAACATCTAAACGTTGATGTGAAATAACTGTATAGTCTTTGAAAAATCGACCCAATGGATTTCTTCGCGTAGCACTGCTAGCATATTTCATCTGTTCACATTTTCAAATAACATTATAATTACACATCAACAACATGTTTTTATAAGGCTAACACACAGCTAGTCAATTAGTTACCATATCCATTGAAAGAAGCATTCGTCCATTAGTATTCTCTTGAGGATCAACAATGTACACCATTTTATCAAAGACATGATATACTAGTAGGAACCAATTTGGTGCGCCTAATTCCGTAACCGGGATGAATATCTTTTGAACATACATCATTTTATGACGCACATACCATTAAACACATATGCAAAAATGTACAAAACAAACAAAGCTCAAACTTGTTCAATCTTGTTGAGATCTCCACACGGTACAAAGGGTTCAAACACTTTGTACTAGTAATTAAGAGTCTATTGATTTATCATATGCGGGCACCGTTCATCTGATCTCATTACTATAGTCTGGGTGCAGCATGTAATTATACTATTGTTATAAATCATAATCAATTGACATGTGTAGTAGTAACTATTGTCAATACCTGAAATATTGCCGGCAATATGGGCTTAGTTGGGTCATTTAATCCCATTACCATATCATATAAGTACACATTTATCAGAAAAAAAACCAAAACAAAACAAATGACATATATGATAACATGTCTATAAACATTAAACTAAGAAGGGTTGGAAGATTACAATATATCATACCTGAGCAGATAGAAATCTATCTGGATACAAAGACCAAGATACACTAATGGTCAACCTGATAATTGGTTTATTTTTGGCACAATAGAATTCTTCAGAATGTCGTTCTTTGTGAACCATGATATATATATGTTTCTCCAAAGATGTTAGTTGTGATACATATTCAAGAAATAGGAGAGTTGGAGAATGCTGATCTTGAAACTGATTCACATCACCATTACCATCGAAACTTTGTACTTTAACCTTATTACTTGGTCCCTGCGTGTAATGCGTAGAAATTTAGATAACAATGAACCATAGTAAAATAGGGTAATAAAATAATTATGCAATAACCAGTACTGTGTTTAGTCATTGCTATATTAACAAATAATTTTATACAAGATCACCTCTCCATTAAATGCATTCGTAATTCATTTCTTCTGCCTCTTTGATTTTGATAATTGGGCCTGCATATAATTGTTTGTACGATGTCACTTTTTTGGATCAAATAGAGTTGAATATTAAAATAAGAAACATAATGGAAATATGATTACCCATTCTCCAAGAGTTTTGTTTTCCTTTTCGACGGAGCACGTTGATTTTTTTCATGACCAGGCGTATGTTGCTACAATACACAGTTAGCAATAATCATTACACATATTTAATTGTAAGGAATTATTCATGTCTATTACCTTTTCCACTTGTGCTTTTGATTTGCTCTTATTTCCTTTTTCTGGCTTTGAGGACGGTGAAAGCTTTATAACATGTAATGACCAAAATATTAATGAAAGTTTACCACAAATTAAAAATATATTAATTAAATGTAATGATTAATATAATAATGAATGATTACCTTTTCTACAATCACAGAGTTATCGATTAAATGATTTATTGCTCTAGTCCTTGGCCTCTTATGCGGTCTCTTCTTTGAATTTGAATCTGAGGAAATCATGTCATTAGATTTGTCAATACCAGTCTTTGGTGTTGGTTTTGGCTTTGGAGTTTTCACTTTTATGTCAGGGCTTTTAGCCTTCTCTTTTGCTTTTGTGTCCTTCAGTGTTTCCTCCTTATCAATAATGTCCTTTAGTGTTTCAAGACCCGGCGGAAATTGAGTCTCATTAAAACGGATATTACAAATGCTAAATGAATCAATATCCAAGCATTTTAACTCGTTCTTGTTCTTCATCGGAAGTGTTTTCCACATCTAGAGAGTTTTCCACATCCAGAGTGTTATCGACATCAAGAGTGTTGTCCACATCTGGAGTGTTTTCCACATCTAGCTTTCGCTTGGTGGTTGAGACACGTGTACTGACAATCAACTCACCATCAACTCACCATTAGCGCTTAGGAAAGGAGACTTAGAGCGATTTAGGAGTTGTTGATTCGCAATGGTACCGATTGATTCTGGAACCTTGGACGTACTATTGGATAAACTTTTGCTTATACTTGCAACTTCGGTAATTAGTGCAGCCAATGATACCTCCATGTTTGACACTTTGTTGTGAATGTCTTTTATCATTCCCTTATATTCTTTATATTTCTACAAGGAAAAGGCAAGTATTTTGGTATTGATTTTACTAATGACAAGAAATTCCAAATCTTTGTCGATGACATAAACCCTAGATATATGCAATTAATTTGTTCTTGAAAAATTTCAATAGATAAACCCTATATACATATATGCAATCAATGTTTAAAATCGAATATAAATTACACAATTTAATAATTAAATTAGAGTACAAATACATATAAACAAACCTGTTTAGAGTAACTTACATCTGCTTTCTTTTTAACCATGGTTGGTGTTCAAAGGCAATATTCGGCAATCGCAAAAACTTGCAAAAAGAGTTTTCCGTGTAGAACGATGGAGATGTGCAACTTAAAATATTTTGAAAATATTAAAATATAATCTTTTCAAAATTTTAAAATTATACTAAGAAATAATCTATAAAATAATTATAAGATAAGAAATTAGGAAACTATCCTTTTTTTTAATTGGTGATTGAAATGTTTTTTAAATAATATTTCTATTGTTAATAGATATCCTAAAAGATCTTTCAAAAAAAAAATAGATATTCTAAAAGATATTGATTCCATAAATTTTTTTTATATTTAATAATTACATTTGATTGAATTTTATTTTTATACATGATTAGGTAAAATTATCTTCTAATGGTCGCACATTAATTTAAATTAATTAGTAATGTCCAACATAACATAGGGGCATAACTGTTTAATAGTTAAGTTGTACATAATAGGTAATGTCTTATTTATGAGTATGACAATTCCTTACACACAAACACGATTTGGAATTCCCGTCTCCAACATTTTGGATCAAATAGCGTTTCGAAGAAAAACGATACGGTTTCGTAACTGGTTTTCTTGAATAACCTAGATCACCAAAATAAATCAAATTTTTTGTGATCGAATTCATAAATTCGATGTTTAAGCATCCGCTGATTGATATTGTACAAATGAAATCTAATTTTCTACAAACGCCGATATGAATCAGGACTGTAGAACTTATTTCGTTTTCTCCATCCACGCACAAATGTAGAACTTCTCTATCGGTTTATTCATCGACACACGACTGTTGACCTTAATTTCTAGAGGAATTCAGCGATTGTTGAACAATGATGTTGAAGAATTATTGGTTTCTTCATTGAAGGATGTTGAAGAATGTCGATGAACAATGATGAATTACGAAGAACGATGATGAATTTTTTTTAATTATTGTTTTTTTTTAATTTAATCTTATTTTTTTATTTAATTAAAAATTGAATTTTATAAATATATTACGAAAATTATAAAATGATTTTTGAAATTACAGTAATTAATTTTTGAAAATTAAAAAAAGAATTAAAAAAGGGAAATACCTAAAATAACCTTTGACCAAACCTTAAAACAAGATAAAAAATCCACCAATCATGTTTAAGTATAGTGGTAGTACAAATGAAATGGACCATAGTAGAAACATCCAAATAAATTTTTACAAATAGGTTTAAGGTTTCCCTTGAGGATTTCTTGTCACTTGTTTTAGTTAATACATAATCTTTGCTTCTCTAGTCGTGATATTTGCCAAGCTCCCCTGTTAACCGAAGTAGTGAACTAAAGGATTCAATCTTAACTGCAAAGCTCCAGTAATATGATGAAAGACTCATTAAATGAGGTTAGAAATATGTATGACATGATATACTTAATTGTTCCAAGTCTCAACAACCTAGAAACTTACATTTTGGAAGGACTATAGCAATGACAAATAAAATATCCAATAGTCTAATAATTTGTGAACCTTTAATTTTTATTGAGTAATTTAGCATCTGTCTCCCTTGAAATCTATTATGTGGACACTTATATACAGACATCTAGTGCAATATATGAATTTTAATTATTTTGTTGTTATTTATGCATTTTATTTAATTCAAATATATTAGATTTGACTTTGGGGGTACTAGGCTTATATATCTTAGCGACTTTTTTTTACCTGTAGTTGCCCATTTATTTTAAGTGATTAAAACCTTTGTGTTGTTTGTAGGTTGTGAGAAATGAACTAACCATGTGTTTATGAAAAACATGAGGAGATGGTACAATGTTTTAACTGAGAATGATCACTGATTTTTTGCTGAGAAGCTAGTCATTTATTCTATTGAATGAAAGCAGAATGAGAGAGTGTGAATCCAATTATCAAAGTGTAGTACATTTTCTGATAATGCATAATGCATTTCAGCTTTATCAACTTAACCTTGTTTGTCTAAGGTAGTGTAATATCACTGTAATCTACACCTTGTTTGTTTTAATCTATATGCTCTAGACCTCTCATATAGTGTCTTTTTTTTTACAATCTTTTATTGTATGTGATATTGTGAATGGCTGAAAGCTGATGTCTTACACTGTCAATGAATGCCAAATTTTCATTTCCTCAAAAAGGATGGCATATATGACTTTTTGGAACTGATTTGACGATAGAACCTGGTAATTGCTGTTACAATTGGCTAACCAATATATAAAAATTCATTTATGTACTTGCCTTTTCCTGTTGGATTTGTACTGGATGTTTTAAAATAATTTATGTGATTATCCCCCTTTCAGGTACCCACTGGGTCGTGTGATTGGCGAAACCGTTTATCCTAGATTAACGACACTGACGACAGGTACCATGTTGTGGTAAGTTTTTCATACTTTAATCAAACTGAAGTATATTTTTAATATGGTAAGTTTTCTATACTTTAATCAAGGCCAACAAGTGGTTCATCTGAAGCAATTTGAAGCTAAATTCAACTCACTCCTTATTCATTCATCGTATCATGTCTAACAAAGGTGCTGCTTGATTACTTTTCATAGGATTTGCGAGGAAGGGTATGTTAAGGCTATCAAGGAGGAGATCAGCAAGGTTGTCAAGCTCCAAGAAGAACTTGACATTGATGTCCTTGTTCACGGAGAGCCTGAGGTGAGTTTTATGCATAATTGTTAATCCATAGAAAAGTTTGTATGCTAGGTTCTCATCTTCTGCCTGCATGTGCATTTTTGGTTTTGTAGAGGAACGATATGGTTAAGTACTTTGGAGAGAAATTTTCTGGTTTGCATTCACCAGGAATGGATTGGTACAATCATATGGATCTCGATGTGTGAAGCCACCAATTATCTATGGTAATGTCAGCCGCCCCAAGCCAGTGATTGTTTTCTGGTCATCCACTGCTTAGAGCATGACTTCCCGCCCAATGAAGGGTATGCATATAGGGCCTGTGACCATCCTCAACTGGTCTTTCGCCAGTAATGACCAACCTAGGTATGGTCTCTTTCCTCAGATTCTCATAAAACTCTTCTCCAAATAGATGGTTTGGATTGTGGCTCAATTTCTCATATATTTATTTGTGTTATTGTGTATTCAGGCATGAGACTTGCTACCAAATTGCTTTGGCCATCAAGGATGAGGTTGAGGATCTTGAGAAGGCCGATATCAATGTTATCCAAATTAACATGGCAGCTTTAAGAGAAGGTTTACCACTCAGGAAGTCTAAGAACGGGTTCTACTTGAAGTGGGCCGTCCACTCCTTCCTTCACTAGTGGAAAAAAGCTGCAATTTTTTATATTTGTTATAAAGCAATAATTGGTTTGTTTTCTCTTATCTTTTTTCAAATTCAATGATTTACTATACGTCAAGTTGGTTGATTTAGTCTTTGCTATTCAAATTGAATGATTAATTGTTTGATGGAATTGATATGTTGTTTGTCAATTTGATTGAATTGTTTGTTTAATATAATTGAATATGATGGATTGTTTAGGCTGATGATCAACCGGACCTGAGGCCATATGGGCCTTATTACCTAGAAGGGGAATAAGTAATTGGATGGCATTTAGAAGTTGCTGAATTTGCCTTTGACTGGTGCAAAACAAACTGCCCTGGGGTATTTCTTTTTTTTTCTTTGTTGATTTTTTTCAATTTCATCAAATTGATCAAATTGCTAGATGGATTTTAAGTAATGTGCATTTCATTTATGTTGTGGTTTCATGACAACCTCTGCCGAATAAAGAATGGCTTAATGGTTGGAGTATTAAGAAGCTTCCTATGGGATGTTTGTATGTTTCACTTCCGTATTAAAGCTGTAGGCAGTAGGCTAGCAGCTATGGTTGATTGGTTAACTGGGTTTATATTGTAGTAGTTGAGAGAGTTAATGATAATAAACTATAACTTCTATCTATGATATAATAGTAATGCATGCTTTGGGATTGCTTTTGTTCTTCTTCAACTTGGGGTTAACTTATGCAAATTTGATAGATCAAATACCAGTTTTTCCATACCTCTTGCATTCTCTTTTTCTTATGGGTGGAGTGGGTTTGAAATTTCATTTAGCCTTAAGGATGTTATTTAAAAGTTAAATTTACCTGTTGTTTTCTTTTTCTAAAGGTACGAAAGGATTTTACAAGTGAAGTTAATTCTGCAATCACTGCATTTTGAGGGTTGTCTATAAGCTTATCATAAGGTCAGACAGACCTTTTCTAGTTTTTTCGAGTTGCTGCTCATGAAGCGAAAAAATCTCGGTCTCAAGGTCGAATATTAAGTGTGGTAAGTGAGTTCAGTTGTAAACCATTGAATTTTGTACAGTAGATTGTTCATGAATGCAGAGCGCATTGATACTTTTATGTTTTGCTCTACGAGAGTAGTAGTACATTTTGCTTTTATTCTTATGTGCTCATTATTTTTATAGTGAGGTTGTCTAGGCAGATATAGAAAAGTCAATTTCTGAATTTTGCAAGTTGTAATCTTTGATGTAAATTTTTGAATTTGCAATTTCTGAAGTTCGTTGCGATTTATTTTATAGTACTGCCAAATTAATGATGCCCTGCTGGCTGTATTTGATATCAACCATGTATATGAGACCGAGTTCAGAGCAGAGTGGTGCCGAACTAATTCTACAGCTGCTCCTTGCTTTCTATTTGCAAGGAAATTCTCGCAGGGGGTTGCTATGCGGCTTTTGAGTGAAAGATGGTTACAATAGTACTCTGTTGCTCGTTAGGGTACCATTGTTATCCCTATGCAAAATTTGTAGATCTTCAGTGTAACATGTCTAACCTAAACTCCAACAATACACGATCTGGGACTCTTATGGGTAGTATGTTGCGAGAAGTATGATGCCTGATTTTTTATTTTGATTGTATATTACTCGTCAATTATCAATATATATATATAAAATAATTGCGCAAGCTGTCCAACATGTGCTGGATTTTTTTTATTTGATCTCACAATATTCGTAACGGGCAGAACCTGCCCGTTACAAGTAACCCCGTTATTCGCAACGGGCACCTGAAAAACCCGTTACGAATAACCCGTTAATCGTAATGAGCACCTGAAAATCCTGTTACGAATAACGGGTTATTCGAAACGAGCTTTTCAGGTGCCCGTTACGAATAACTTATTATTCATAACGGACAGAGCTTGTTAGGAATAATAAAGGCCATCTGTAACGGCCGCTGCCCGTTACGGATGGGCAGTTTTCCACTAGTGGCACTCTGAAATTGAAAACTGGGGATTCAGCCAGTCAAATACTATTTTATGACAAAACTTCACAAAATTGAAAAATTCAGTCTGGGCATACCCTATCACTTTAGCTGGATATTCATTTGTTCTAGTAGATCCTTTTGGATCTGAGCTGCTGACTTAGTAGGTGTCTTGTTTTCGTCAAACATCTTTAAGCCTTTTGATGTTGTAGACACCTAAAATATCTCCCGGAAACAAAACCTGATGATAAACAACCTTTCACCGCCATTATTGGTTGGGTTGAGAATCTAATCTTTGGAGTTCTTAATCCATATTTCATAAACCAACCTAATTTTTTGCCTATTTCCCATCACCATAACTTGTTTGCCTCTTTTTGTGTCCACGTCATATAAACGAGCTAATATTATTTTGTGGCTATGAAGTTTTGATCCAGTAATTATTTGCTCGGATAGTTCTTTCAAAAAATCATTCCAACAATAAATCATAAGCCCAATTCCGATTTAAAACAAAGAAGATATGAGTCAAACACTAAACTCGGCCCAAAACTGACACCCTTTAACTAAAACATCCATATTTTAAAATATAGAAAAGATTTTTACCTGATTCTAATTGGGTTGGAAAGTAGACTTGATAAACTTTCCAACGATGTATTATATGCCTTATTGCAAGTTACGGATCAAAAGTTGTCATAGTATTAAAAACGTTTTAAAAACTAGAATTACTACGCAGCAGCTATAACGCTGCGTCGCGGAAAAATCTGACGTAACACGGTACCTGGTGCCATGACACGGTAATTTTCACCGTATCACGGTGCTTTCCCATTTCTTTTCCGCGTTCAATTCTTACGTGCTTATGAACCTGACGAGTGTTTGGAAAATTGTACACGATGTCATGGTGTGTTATACCGTGCCATGGTGTCCTTTTCCGTGTCACAGGATTTTTCTACATACTCTCCGCGTACAACTCTTCACGCGCTTTATTATTTTAGCCATATTTAGGGCAAAACTCTGTGCCGCACCATGGTATATTATACTGTGACACGGTGCTCACAGTAAATTAGGGTTTATCTTCGGCTCTAAGGTTTCGTGCATCCTTCTATTAATTTCCTCTATAAATACAAGCCTCATTTCTACAGTTCGAGGCATCAAATAATTTTCTATTCTCTCTTCTATGCTCTAGCCTAATCACTAACCTACCGTATTCTCTCACAATACTTCCCTTAAGCACTCAAAGGAGTCCATACGTTACCCGAGGTTCCATCCTTAAACCAAGGCATGAATGGTAGAACTGTTTGAGGGTTTGGCCCCAAATCAACTTTTTTTTAATTTAATTTTATCTATTGTTTTATTAATTTCCTGGAAGTTACTAACGCGTTTATTATTTCGTAGTTGCAAGCAAACAAAATTAAAATATGGAATCATGTTCCTTTTATTTTTTTAATTTTCTAACGATTGTTATTATGTTTATAATACATTAATTCTTGGATTATTATTAAATTGCTTCCAATATTATTGTTAATTTTTATTATATTTATTGATCACCATATTGCATGTTTAAAGGGAATATGTCATTGAATATTACGCCTAATAAGAAAATTTGGACAACCGATTTAGGTTCCTTTTTAATTTTGTTATTAATTAAAGTGAACACTAATATTTGATTTGGGGCGAATTGAATATTTTGTTTGTATGCCTTTGAGATTGCAGGAATCACTTTTCACTATAAGAATCGAGTAGAGGACAATATGGGAGAATGTGAATCCATGACTCACTTCGACCATCATCCCTGATCTTCCTTTCGTTAGTAATCTCATATATTATGAATGGGGTGTAACCCTCACGAATCAATCGTTGTTGTCTTTCGTTGTCCCTTTATCGTGGTTGCCTTAAATGATTCGTGAATGATTTACATGTTTCTTTAAAACTTGTTGGCGGCTCCCTACTTTACTCGTTCCTAGTCATTGTCCCTAATCGTACATGTCAATTCCTACTTCCTAAGAGTGTCAAGCATATTCACATATGCTTAACGTAGGCGCACTTCAAACAACGCCTACAATTTGGCGACTCCACCATGATGGATTTTTGGTTATTTATCTATTTGAGTGATAAGTATTTAATTAAGATGAGTGGGTGAGATTTAAAAGATTCTTGAAAAATATTCTTGTAATTAAATTGGCATTTTTTCATATGCGTAGACGTTTTAATGTCGTATTTTAGGTTTACCCGTAGGAAAAGTTGAATAACCTGATTAAAGGTGATAAAAGATACCAACATGTCTTGAACTTCATTAAGTTCCTTGATGGTCAATGGACCATCCTTTTGTACCTTGCAAAACTTCAAATACAGAAAAATTATGTTAGAATTAATTACATAGGCTAAACAATATGTATTTTATCAAATATGGCCTGTATGACTTCTACTGTGCCCATTTTCTACATTTCTTATCAAATGAACTATTTCTTGCTTATAACATGTCAATTATGGCTATTATCAGGTGTCTAAGGCTTGAAACCACATCAATAGAGCATTTTAATAAGTTTTAAGACGCATCTTACTCAAAATGACCCAAATATGGCCTATGTGACTTCTACGTTGCCCATTTCCTACATTTCTTATCAAATGAACTATTTCTATCTCATAATATGTGAATGTTTCCTAGTTTTAGGTGTCTAAGGCTTAAAATTGAATCGAAAAAGCATTTAATCAAAAATTACCCCAATATAGCTTACATGCATGACTTCTATTTAGCCAATTTACTAAATTTCT